CCTGGGCCGACCTGCCCCCTGCAGGCCGGTCCCATGCTCAGCACGCTAGCTTTAGGCGACGTTTCTGCCACTTCCCCATAAATACTATTTCCAGTGGATGCGCCCGTTGGACCTTTAAAAGACACCAGCCACAGGCCAGCATCTGGGGATGTAGGATTGTCGTATCGCTGAAACCCGCCACGCACTAGAACTGCAACCCAGGAGAAATCCTCGAGTGTGCAGTGCTGTGACCTGGGACAATGCTAGGATCCCACCCTACTTCCACTGAGCCGGGGAAGCAGGAACTGAGCCCTACGGGAGGAGGTCCTGGGAATTCGTGGGGAGATCTTCCAGCAAAAAGGGATTAACATGCTGAAGAAAGCAATGAAACAGTCATTAACGCACCAGGCCCAGTGGTGCCAGCAGCACTGACCCTGCTGCTTGGACAGCCCCTTCCCTGGGATTACGCTTCTCCACTTTGCCCATGGCTGCAAGAGGCACACCCCTCCCCTCCCCATCTCACTTTGTCTGGGGAAATCACAGTGCAAATTCGCTTTCTTAATAAAAGTGAGTTGTGTGCTAGTGAGCAGGGCCAATCCCAGGCCCCAAACTCCCTGATTTACCCTCAGAATTGGCACACCACAGGCAGGGCTCGGGTCCCTCAAAGGGAGACTTCTGGTGACTACAGACCAGCACCAGCTTCGAACCTGTGCCCCTGGCGGTGGACAAGGGTTAGTGCTAGCAGGTCCTCGCTACGCCATGCAGTGTTCTACCCTGAGAGAAGCCTGGGGCATGCGACCCTCCAGCCTTCCCCGGGAGCTCCCCCAGAGACAGCGGGTTCTGCTGGATCCAGCAGCTCTGAGTGGCTGGGAAGCTCAGTAATGGTGGGGCAAGGGGCAAATATGGACCCCAGAGCTTGAGAGGGAGGAAAAAGGCTTTAGGAGGCAAATAGCCCAGAACAGCAGAGCTCAGAATGATCCGTCCTGGAGCGTGGGTGGGTGAGCTCCATTCTATAGAACCGTGCTGGGATACTGCCCCACTGGCTGCTCCGCTGCCTTGGGCCCTCTGCACCAAGCCCCACATCACCTTGCTCTGAGTCTCAGCACCGGAGCTGGCCAAGGAGGCACCTGGCCAGGGGTTCCAGCTGGGGATAAATTAGGGGAAGGTTTGGCAGGAGATTCATAGACTATCAGGGTTGGAAGGGACCTCAGGATATCCTCTAGTCCAACCCCTGCTCAAAGCAGAACCAATCCCCAACAAAATCATCCAATTTTTTTGCCCCCGATTCCCTAAATGGCCCCCTCAAGGGCTGAACTCACAACCCTGGGTTTAGCCGGCCAATGCTCAAACCACTGAGCTCTCCCTATGATCCCACCAGATCAGCTGAGAAATAGAGCGGGCACCAGCTGGATCTGGGGTTTGCATCCCGACCCCTCTCCCCTGGAAGGATCCAGCATAGGCCCATGGCTAGTCAGAGCCCACCCTACAAAGCCACCATAACACTAGCTCTCTGAACCATCCTGAGCCAGGGGTCTGGAGACCCGAGGCAGGAGATCAAGAATGATCGGACAAAGCTCCCATGAGCGGAGCCTGACAAGAACCAAGGACAGCACCAGCTAAGCAACCAGGGGGGAGCTGCAGCCATTAAAGTCTCTCCGGCCATCTTGGGGAATTCTTCAGGGGCCGTAAAAGATGGCGGCAATTCTGAAATAGGTGTCCCAGGAGTTTGCTTTAGCGGCCCTCCCCTCAGACTGTTGCACAGCAGAACCGGCAAAACTTCCAACCAAGTTTTCGGTGACGTTTTTCAACAATGGGAAAATGCCACTGAACATTCAGAGAACCATGAAAATGCTTTAAAAAATTCTCAGGATTATTATTATTTTTTTTTACTTAAAAATAAACCAAACCAACCCCCCCCCCCCCCGTTTGATCACATGGGCAGCTGTAGCATCATCAGGCTAGAATCCCCACAGCTCACCCCCGCCCCCAAAACATACAGTCACCCCTCCACACCCACACCGACAGCAGGCCAGGAATCACTGGGCTAGGCATTCCCACACCACAACCCTCCCACTACTGTTTTCTTCCTGTGCTTCGGACCAATCAGAGCTCTATTAATGGGTGGGGGAGGGGGGCTGATTTTTGTTTTAAACACACCCGAAGAGGGCAGGTTTGTGCAGGCGATTGCTACACCCCAAATCCATGCAGGATGGAAACCAGGACACGACGTTCCTCCATGGAGTCACTTCTCAGCCAGACCCATGAGACGAACACTCCCAAACTATGGCCCTGACTCCCAGTCCTGCACCTTTCACATTCAGGAGCTCCCCTGCAGCATTCACACCAATACAGACCTGAGCAGGGCTCCCTTTCCCCCACCTGAGTTACAAACACACACTGGCCTGCCACCACTCCTAGCCAAGTCTCCCAGCACCATACACCCATCTGTGAATGAAATTTCATGTTGTCCCCTGGAGGTAGCCAGCATTATCCTTGTTTTACACAGGGGTGAGGTGCACTGGATCCCGCTCCCACTGAAACAGATGCCGGAGGATTAATTGCCCAAAGCCATGCAGCAAGTCTGTGGGTGTGGCAGAAAAACAACCTGGATCCGTTCACCCCATCAGATCGTCCTCCCTGGTTACGAAACGCCCATTCCCAGCCCGGCACTTGGCTACGCCAAGCCCTCACCTCCCTGGAAACAATCAACCTGCTGAAGCAGGTGGGACATGTAAACTTCCTCCTGTCCCTACGAAACCCCTGGAGATTGGAAGCACTCGCGAGGGGCCAGCAAGGCTACGTGGGGCTCAGCCCTGCAGACCAGTTCTCACCACGGGTGACCTGCCACACCCGTGACCGGAACGCTGCAGGTTTCCAGGGCCGGACCCACAGCAAGCAGGAGCAGCCCTGCTGCGACAAGAGGGAGAGCAGCGCTAAAGGAGGCGGGACCCTGCCCAAGCAGGGCCTTGAAATGCTCAAGATCACTTTCCCCTTTGGCTTTTTAAGCCGGGTGCCAGGGCAGAGCGGGACGTGCTTTAGGCAGCTGCCAGCAGAACCACAACATAGCAGCGACACAAGGCAGTGACCTAAGCACCAGACCGGGAGCCGCAAAGGGAAGACTTTCTCACACTGACTCCTGTGGCTTTGGGCAAGTCCCTTGAGCCCACTGCCTCAGTTTCCCCATCTTAATGATTGTTGCTGACAGAGCTGCTGGGAGATTAATCGATGTCTGGCGCGGGGTGTAGAAGGGCCGAGTCACTGAACTATTTCCAGACATGTTTCCGTGCAGGGGTTTCTGCAGGTAGCCTATGGCCAGGGCAGCCTCCACACACACGCTTTCTCTCCTCCGAGCCACCCTCCACACACACTGTACCCGGGGGGGGGGGGGGGGGCAGGAAAGGGAGAGCAAACAGTTTTGAAAATTGCACAAAGTTCCCACATTTAATCGGTCAATTATTCACCCACAGCCTAGCACCAAAGGCTAGTGGCGACGATCAACTCACAAGCAGAAGGGAGGGGGCACAGATGGGGCGCGTGGGGGTATTCAAAAGTCATGAGTGTGAAAAAGCCCCTCATCACCTGCCCCGGTGAGGCAAAACGGGGATTATGCCAAAGGGAAACTGTTAAATCATTTACCATTAAAATACCAGGAAAGAGCCCATGGCGAAAATTATTCTAAGCCTAGAGAGGCCAGGGGCCCGACGTGAGCTACCTTAAGAGGGGCATGGGTTTTCAGTGCTGAAAATCAGGGCCCGGGAAGGCAGCTCCGGTCAGTTGCCCGAAACTCGCGGGTTACTCTCGAAAGCCTTGTCCTTGTGATTCTCACTCCGCCAGCGCTAGTCACAACCCAAGCGCGTGGCCGCAGGAAGAGCAGCAGAAAACCTGCCTCCCCGGGCTGTGCTACAAGTCTCTGCTGGTGCACAAGTTTAAGCAAGAGTGGCTCTTTGGACACCCCCCAAGTCCCACCTACACTGTGGGCATAAGCGGGATTTCAGTGGTCTCCTTAGCACCACTTAACGTACTTAAACTAGACACCTGCCTAAACACCCTGCCGAGGACCACAGCTCTGGAGTATTCCCCCGGCACAGACCGTACTGCTCAGGCACAAAAGGCAGCAGAGGAGTATTCATTATACATTCATAACAGGGAGCTTTTTCCATTCAAATCCACCTCAGCCGGGCCACTTGGTGCACAGACAATTGGTTTTGTTTACAAAAAACCAACAACAACAGACATAGAATTGAGGCAGGCTACAAACATTGAAAAAACAATCTTACAAAATACGGCTTCGTAAACACACGCACACACAGACTCTCGTCTTTGCATCCAGCAAATGGATTTTGGGGGGATTATCTCGGACATTAACGACCAAGGCAAATTCCAATGGACGTTGTCCGGGTTGTTGCAGTCAAGACTGCAGGGAAAACACACACACACAAAAAATGCACAAAGGGAAAACTACATTTCCCAGCAACCAGTGCTGCTTGCTTATAAACAGGGTGTCCAAAGGGGGTAGGAGGTGATGGGAAAGAGAAAGGATTCTGGGAAACCTAGTCCCTACAGAAACAAATCTAGAGACATGCTTTTGGAAAGCAAGGAGATGAGGGTTTTCTCCATCTCTCTTTCGTGCCCTGGGAGGGAATATTTAAAATACAACCTTTAATATATTTTATTAAAAAAACACACACACAAAGAAAAGAATAAAGAAAACTCTTTGTGCAGTTTGGCTTAGTGCAAATGGGCGCGTTGACGCAGGCACTTCCGGGCGCTCTCGTTGCCACGGGAGCGGGGGGGGGGGGGTTTCCTTTATAGAAAAAAAAAAAAAAAAAACTTTAATACCTCATCCTGGGTGGACACAAGTCCCCCATCTCTGCACCCGGGGAGCTGGGCTCCGCACGCAGAGGGGCGACAGAACAGGTGCGGCTGGGAGAGGGGCAGGTAGTGAGCCACATTTTCCACGCAGAAAAGGACGGTCAAGAGAGGCCGCTTTTCCCAGGCACAGTTACCCCCCCCCGCCCCCCCCCCCCCCCCCGTGTCCATCGTGGACACAGAGCTCAAAGATCTGACCACACAAACATCTTCAAATGGTTGAGGCGTCTGTGGCTGAGTCCATCTCCCCCCCCCACACCCCTCAATCGAGAATTCCCTGCAGGAGTGGGGGAGATAACAGCACCGTCCCCCCTTGCCCCAGGGACGCTGGGTGTTTTAGCCCACCAGAGTCAGGACTCAGATCGGACATGGCACCTTAAAACCAGGAGATAAAAAAGAAGGGTAGAAAACTGCTGCTCGGAACCTCGGCACATCCCAGCGGGCTGCAGCGGGAGGCCAGGCTGGGTCCTTTTCTTGGTCTAAAGTCCATTTCGGTGGCGAACTGTGGTCGGCAAGATTCCAAAGCAAAAACCAAGAGGGAAAGGAGCTCTCGGCTTCCCGTGCATGCACGGCACCAGGTCCGCTCCCCTCCTTTACCACGGCGCGATATGGAGCTGGCGGCTGATACTGGCCTCCCACCGCCGGATCCCAGCGCACGGACATCCCTGGCTCGGCCAGATCCCTGAAGGCAGTCAGACGGCGGGAGGAACGTAGTGAAGGAAGAGAAAATAGCTTATTTCCAAAAGAGAGTGATCAGAAAAGCTCCGTGCGTACGTGTGTGTAAGTGTAAAGCTTCCAAGAGGCAAGAGCACGACGCTGGCGGGGAGGAGACAGGACAAGGCTCCGCAAAAAACCAAAAATATAGCGCCAGACGAATGGCTCTCAGGGGCCCGATCCCGGAGGGAACCTGATGTAAGATGGCGTCGGGAGCCGTGTCGCACCAATGGGGGTGGAGGGGGGAATGAGTTTTTCCTTTTCAAGGACAGCCCCTTCCTTTCACCCCTCCTCCTCACGCCTAGAATCACCGCCCTACAATTCCTCAGAGCAACTGCAGGCCAAGGGGCTCCTTTTTCCTGAGTCCGGGGCAGTTTCCGGCTAGCCACGGCCGAGTCCCTGGGGGCCAGGAGGTGGGGTCGGGGCTCGAAGGCACCTGAAGTGCAAAACGTGCAAGAAGGAAGCGTTGACGCTGACTTTCCAGAGCTCGGAGGTTCCAATGGAGCCAGAGGGGCCTGGGGGCTCGGGCAGCGGGGCCAGGTGCGGGGGGTAGGGGGGCGCTCAGTCGACGAACCTCTGACAAGCTTTCTTCCACCGGCAGGCTGTGCACCACATGTCCCGGTTCTCCATCCCGTACACCTTGCGGCACTTCTTGGCCTCGCCGCGGGGCTTCCTAGGAGAGAAGAGCAGACGGGCCCGTCAGAGCGGGGCTCTGCCTCGGAGAAGGGAGCGCGAGCAGCACCCTCAGCGCGGGAGACAGGGCCCAGCAGGGACACAGGCCAATGCACTCCCGGGGCGCTGCTGTCCCGAGCCAACGGAGCCAAGTCCTCTGGCCGGGAGCGGCGTCACCGGGATCTTGGAGACCCGACGGGGTAGGACCGAATGTGGAGCGTTAGCAAGAGCCCACTGGCTCCCAGCACAGGGAGCTCCCACATCTCTAGAAGCATTTAACTGGCACGGTCCTGCCCCGCTGCGCAGTTCCCCTCCCGCCCCAGGCTTCCCCCCAGTTGTGTGGCGGGTGAAAGGAGTGGGGACATGGGGGAGGCCGGGACACGGTTAGACACCAGACCTCAGAACGTGGTATCTGTTCAGTGGGGTGAGCAGACTATGCAAGGCCTTGCCAAGCTGGTGGCTCGTCCTCACATGCCCCCTGTCTCCCCAAGGCCCTGTCCCAGAGACGCCTTCACCTGGTACGCTCACGGCACAAGCTGCACATTAATCTGGTGTCATGATCCCTTGAGCTGCCGGAGCACCACTGGGCCGCCTCCCCGGGCAGCACATAGCCACACTCCAGACACGGGCCCCTGCACCAGGGCCCTCAGGGTCTCCCTCCCCTCCTGGCCTGTGGAGAATGATAAGACGAGGCGGCTACTGGAGCTGGGGAGGGATGTGGCTCCCAGAGCAGCCCCAGGTGGCCTTTTCTCTCCACCTGTCTATGGGGCACGGAGGGGATTAAACGCTCACACACCTGAAGTGTCCAGCTGCCCCTGAGCTCGGCTCCTTCCCAGGCTGGCAGCGTGGCTGGAGGGGATGGCTTAGGTGTCTATGCATCAGGGACAACTTCTCCCTAAAGCCCCAGGTTCCAGCTCCAGGAGGATCAAGTCGGGCTGTGATCCGGCAGGAATGGGCGGTTAGCACTGCCCCAACTTACCTGGTGCCCGCGGCAGGCTTTGGCACAGAGGGGGGCGCCGCAGTGACAGTCGGGTGGGGGATCTGCAGCCGCCTCTCTCCCACGCCGACGGGGCGGAGCGCAGTCAGGCAGCCCTGGGGACGACACAGCCCACGGTGAGACCCTCCTGTCACAACCAGCACTCACAGGCCCGGCAGCCGCGAACCCGCCAGGGCAGAGCAAGCATGGGGGCGAGAGCAGACAGGTCGCTGCCGGGCAGCGGCACAGACCTGCCCCCGCTGGGATCTGCCCTCTGGGGACACTAGCCAATGGGAGGGCAAGGAGCCTTCGGCCCACGGTCCCCACGCTGAGACCTGGGAGCCGAGATCCGGGTGGCAGGCACCAGAACGCACCCTATGCCCTTCCGCCTGGCACAGGCGAGGAGGCCTCACGGGGCCAGATGGAAGCAGTGACTGTCCATTTCAGCTGATGCCGCAGCTCCCTTGGTCTGCAGGTCTCGCAACCCACACGTGTCCTGCCAAGCGGAAACATCAGCTGAAGAGGACGGGACGGGCGAGCCAGAGCCACAGAAGCGTTAACGCTTGGGGTGGGGGAACCTGGCTCTGCCTCCAGGGTCAGGAAAAGACGACCGGTTCCCTTCTTGTGGTTAGGGGAAAATCGGAGCCACCCGTTTCGTGGCCTAGTGGTTAGAGCAGGGCCCTAGTTCTGCCACCGACTGTGCGAGCGTGTGCAACTCACGGCGCCTCTGTGCCTCAGTTTCCCCATATGTAAAAGGAAAACACCACCCGACCTCACACAGGGCACAGGCAGCTTAGCATGCGTGTGTGAAGTGTCCTGCAGTCCCTAGGCAGGAGGCACCAGGCGAGCCCAAACATTATAACCGAAGATCTAGGAAAACAGGGAACCTTTCTACCTGGGACCATTTCACAGCCCAAAAGTTTTCCACTTTTCACACCACACCCTGCAAGGCAGAAGCTGTAGCGTGGAAGCCGAGTCCTGCTGGCCGAAAGCAGCATTCTGGAGTCTCTGCTCTGGAATGTGAAGGTTCTAAATGCAACCGGGTCCCAATTTCATGCAAAACCAGCCCAGGTTCAAGCCAAAAACACCCCGTCAAAGGCCACAGGCTTGTCGTGAAACGGGACTTGTTTTGCAAAACGGAGACAAGACAGATGCAAACCCCTGCAGCGCACGGCGTTCCAGACGCCAGTCTGCACGGCACACGCACTTCCACTGCGTGTCTGCTGAATTCTAGCCAGGAAATTGCTCTGTGCCTCCCTCCTTTGCCTCTGATGGACTTGGAGCATCCCTCCTCTCAGAGAGCGTATTGTGCTTGGCACCTCTGGGGCAGAGACCCGGAGACGGGACGGGTTTGGGGAATGATCTGGGCTGTTTTAGTGCAGCCGCATGTCCCACTGAGGTAACAGTACGGGCCATTCTAGGACTCGGGCTGCCTCTCTCCTGCCAGCCAACACAGGGGGTGGGGGGGCTGTCTGGTTACTCACCGGGGACCCTTTAAAAACAACTGGTGACTGTGGCGCTGGGGGTGGCTGCCAGGAGATGCTGAAGCCCATCCCGCCAGGCAGGGTTTTCGAAGCAGCTGAGATGCTGACGGGAGCCATCGCCTGAAAGCCACAAACGTAACCAGGAGAGGATGAGACACATCTGGGCACGTGGACGGAGGGGCGGCCAGGAGAGCTGGGGAGGGAGCTGGCCCCCGTTGCCCCAAAGGTGACAAGCTGCGGGTCAGTGGCAACAAAGGCTGGCAAGACCTCCCCGGCGTGGGGCCCAGCTCCGGCTAACACAACATTATGCCCGCATTGCCCAGAGGGGGCAGAGCTCTGGACAGGCCTGACAGACAGCATCAGTGCCAAGAAACATCACAGGCATCCGAACAGGCCCCCACCTGCCCATCCGGCGGGCGTGCTCTGCCCAGCTGGGCAGAGCCACCACTTCATCCGAACGCTCCAGCGGCAAAGGGGAGGGAGGGGGCGCAGGAGAGATGAGCAGAGGGAGTCCAAGTCCAGCATGGTTTTGGCATTAAATACGCTCTCAGAACCTTCCTGCCACGGGATGTTTCGGCTCCCAGGTCTGCGTGGGGCTTAGGGGCTGCCCATTCACTCCAGGGTTCTGCCTCCCACTGGCCCATGCCACACACTTGAGAGCCCTCCAAATACCACCCGAGGTGGGCAAGGAGGGACCATCCCCAAAGCCCAGCTGCTGAGCAATTTCTGCCCCAAACACGAGGCGCAACAGCCCTTGATCATTTCTACCCTGCAACTGCAGCTGCTGCTTTCGTCTTTTGTCCTCCCTGAAACTTTCCAGATCTTCAGCCAGCCTCAAGCTGGACTCTGACTTCACCCACGTTTCCACACGTGCCCCTGGCTGCGCCTGCCACAGCGTCCAGGCCCCCACCTGGTGCATCCAGATCAGACAGCCTGGGTCCAACTGCCTGACTCACACACACAAAACTGGAGCAAACACGCTTCTGGGAGCACTGCCAGTCGTGCGAGCAAAGATCAGAGGCCAGACTGAGCCTTTGTCCCCCTAGGCAAACCTGCCTCCTGCAGCGGTGAGTTCCACAGGCTCGCTGCAGCACCCTGCGTAACCCAAGCGTTTCCTTCCCGACATGGTGGGGGCCCATGCTCCAAAGGCGCCTCCTATACCCCAGCCACTGCCTCCTTCCACAAGCACCATCTGGGAGCCTTGTTTGAAAACGTCTGCTGTGCAGTCTGAGGCCAGTGGAGGAAAGTTGCACCCTGTTCTAAGGACACTCGGCAGGGCCGACGCGGGAGACATCAATGGATTCGCACTGGGCTGAGCCCGGGATGGTCTCAGCTCAGGGACCGAGGGGCCCACACATCCCAGCATGCATTACTCCACCATCTGTGTCCCTCTTCCCCACCAATGCGGTCTCACCTGCTTTTCCACATGGCCCACCTGATAGGCGTGGTCCGTGTGGACATGGCACAGGCTCGTTGGAGCTGAATGACTCAGAGGAGACTCCACAGAGTCCTCGGGCTTCACCAGCACCGGCGGGGTTCGCTGCACCTCCAGGACAGGGAAGGCTGGGGGCACCGAAGAGGTGGGCGAGACAGGGGTCAGGCTGGACAGCCCGTCTGTCAGGGAGTCCACGTTGACGTCCAGCTCCGTGTAGTAAAAGTCCTCCTCGCCGTCGCTCTGATCCAGGTCGGCTTTCCGGCTGCACAGGGAAAGCGGAGTCAGGCGCTGGAGGCATTTCCAGCCCTGACCCAGCCACGAGGGCAAGGCCAAGGGGCCTGCCTACCTCCTGGGAGCATCCCACATGCGGTTGTGCTAAGTGATAGCAGCACCTGGAGGGGTTTGCTGCTGGTCACTAGCAAGGCATTGAGAGAGACAGCCCAGGCTGGAGAGAGTTAAGGGGGCCCAGCGGGGATCCCGTCACAGTGGCGCAGCGAGCAGGGTGAAATACGCAGCTTGTTGTACTGAGCAAGATTTGCACTTCATGCATTGGTGTAAAGATTTTAAGTGAGGCTTTAAGCGTGGTGGCTAAGAACAGTTAGGAGGAGGCTACGGGTTTGTTATTTTTTGTTTGCTTATTTCGGGAAAGGGAAATAAGGATGGAAAATGAGTGCAAGCAGTGAAGCTATTGCAAAGTTGGAGCTTTTCAGACTGCAGGTTGCAGAAAAAGAAAGAGACCACCAGAGAATCTTGGTACTAAAGAAACTGGCCATGGAGAAGGAAAGAGCAAAGAGAGAGAAAGAGAGAAAACGCAAACTGGACCTGCTAGAGAAGCAGAACCAGAAACCACCGACCCCAATCATTCCCATCCCTCCAAAACCCCACAATTGGGACCACCTATGGCCTTCATACAACAAGGACCCTGCTCGCTGCGGCACATCCATCCTATCCAACAACGCTGGAGGGCCAGCAAGAGAGCCAGAGAGACTCCACGCCCAACTCACCCCACTGATACGGGCTGGGAGGGGATTGCTCAGTGATCTCTCGGGCTGATTAAGGGACGGGATGGAGCGGATGGACTCCAAGACAGGAGGCTGCAATGCAAGGCTTCCTGAATGGCAGACGTAAAGGCAGGAGGGGGGCAGACGAGGAAGGGAGAAGTAACCTGGAAGCAACCAAACAGGGATGCAAGAGACGTGGGGGAAAAAACTGGGGGAGGAGCTTTGGCAGAGCCCGCCCTGCCCATAGGACATAATTCCTTCCTTCCCGGCCCTCCTCCCGGTACCGCCCGGAGCACTGCAGGACCCAGCGCACCCTCACGCCTACCCGAGGTGGACGGTTCGGATGTGCTTCTGCATCCCCGAGGAGCTGCTCAGAACCTTGCCACAGCTTTTCCACAAGCACTTGAACATCACCTTGGTGGAGTTCTTGGGGAGGAGAGGGAGAGAGAGAGAATGAATGAGGGTCACAGCTCCCACTCGGGCCCCAGGCAGCCCCGCTCCATGGGGCTCAGACCCCCACCTGGAAAGGGGGCCACGGCGCTTAATCCCACAGGCTGGGCTGGGCTGAGTGTGCGTGGGGAGGGAATGTGGTCCAGTGGTTGGAGCAGGGAACAGTGAGAATTGCCCGTGTCACCAGGTCCCTCTGACTTGGGTGAGCTCCTGAACCACTCCCCCAACTGTAACATGGGCAGTTACGCTCCCCTCTCTGCGGGGAGTTTGGGGCATTATCTCCGGTCTGCAAAGCAGCTGGGGCGCCCAGAGAAAAGATGCTAGGCAGGGCTTAATTTGTACTGAAAGAGGTGCCGGGGCTCAAGTAATTTTTTTACATTCATAACTGATGCCGCAAGCCCAGCGGTGCCGGGGGGCTCTGAACGGCCAGGCCCAGCGGTGCCGGGGGGCTCTGAACGGCCAGGCCCAGAGGGGCCGGGGGGGCTCTGAACTGCCAGGCCCAGAGGGGCCGGGGGGCTCTGAACTGCCAGGCCCAGAGGGGCCGGGGCTATGAGCTGGCATAAATTAAGCCCTGGGGCTAGAAGAGGGGCTGCAGTGGGGAAAGCCCCGCTCACTGCAGGGATGCAGTTCAAACTGCTCCGGCTGCCTGTTCGCTCCCGCGTGCCATGCAAGGCGCTGGACTCTGACGTTCTATTACAGGCTTGGCTGGAGAGTCAGAGCCAACAGCCCCTCGCTGTTACCGTAATTCAGCCCCCACCGGGAGCGCCCCTCGGCCCTGCAACCCGCTCCCCAAGCCTGTCCCAAAAAGCGAGTCCGGTCAGCCTTTAAGGCCCAGCACAATGCCCAGCTCTCCTCCCCAGCCTGGCAGGGAGGGCGTGTGGATGAGGCGCAGAGGAGGAGCAAGTTGATTATTTGGGGGAGGAGACGAGCCTTTTTCTCCTGCCTGCAGAGAGGCCTGAGTCCGCTTCGCCCCCAGCCCTGCTCCGGCCCAGCCCCCAGCCACAGTCCCCACCATGGCTCTGCTCCCAGCCCCGCCCCCAGCCCCCTTACCCCTGAGCCATGGCCCCACTCCCAGCCTGGTTCCCGGGGTGGGGCGCAGACAGGGGCAAGGGGGGGGGGCGCGACCATCAAAAGTTTGGGGACCACTGCTCCGCCGGACCCCTGGGACTCCTCCCCCCAACCACCTTCCTCACTGCGCTGCTTTTGGACCGACCCTGCAGCCTGAGCAAAAGCAGGCAGCCCCACCGTTCCAGCTCCCGTCCTCCGCACCTTCCTCTTGCGGGGAATGGGGTCTCCGAAGAGGAAGTGGGTCGCTTCGGTCTCCTCGATGCCGTCGTCCAGCTGGGGGGCCGGCAGGAAGCTCTTGGCCACGTCGGTGGAGAGCGGCGGCGACGGGGTGGACGGGGTGGAGCGGTCGCTCGGAGGGTCCCAGCTCCAGTCCCCGCTGTTGTTGCTGCTGCTGCTGTAGCTGGAGGACATGGCAGGACCCTCCTTCCAGGCCTCGCCGCTGGGCTCTGCTGTGGGGAGAGGAATTCAATCACCCACCAGTCACGGGGGTCAGCCCCAGGACACGCAGACGTCAGCGCCTTCCACTGCTCCGGCAGGTAAACCAACTTCTGAGCAGAGCTCTGGGAATCCCACAGGCAGAGCCAGCCCAGGGGGCATCTGGGTGAACCTCCCAGGCAGCAAGCGCCGCGCCCAGCCTGAGCTTTCCTGCGCCATAGGGCAGGTTTCTCCACCGGCACATCCCCTGCAGCAGAGGCAGGTAAGTTTGTGTGCTCCCGCAAGTGGGCTTTTTACAGCAGGGGCTGCCACGCTTGATGGGAACCTCAAGCCATAAAGGCCTCAACTCAACACCCCCCACCTCCGCCCTTTGTTACATGTGGCGTGGGGACGTGGGGAGGTCCCAGAGCCCTGGCTAGGAGCACTGCCTCCAGTGGCAGTGCCTCCAGTGCCCTTCATCCGCAGATCCCAGAGCACTCGACAAAGAGGTCAGTATCGGTATCCCCTATGTAACAAATGGGGAAACTGAGGCAGAGGGAGGGCAGTGACTTGCCCAAGGTCACCCAGGAGGCCAGTGGCTGAGCCAGGAATAGAACTTTCGTCTCCTGAGTCCAGTGCTCCAGCCCTAGGCCATGCTGCCTCCCATTATTAAGCCAATCTCTACTGGCGGCGAGGATGAGATTTCGTGCGGGGGGCAGATTATCGCCCATCTGCTGCGGCGGGGTTCTTACGCCTTCCTCCGAAGCATCTGTCCCGGACAGCAGCCGGCACCGGGACACAGGCTAGATGGACCTCAGGGCCAGTCCCTGTGCTCCTACGAGGGGACTCGGGGCCCTGAATTCCGCTCCGGGCTCCGAGAAATTCCCCACATCACGCAGGATTTACAGAGGTGTAACCGAGAGCAGCACATGGCCCGACACCCCCGCCTTGCCCACCTCGGGGCTCAGCATCCCATCGGTACCTGGGCTGAGGGTGCCAGGCGGGTTGCCAAGCACTAGAGGGCTAGTGGACAGGCTGGTGAGAACTGCGGCTGCCATGACCTCGTCTATCCCCGCCTTGCCCGACAGCTTTCTGAAAGACAGACAGAAAACGGAGAACACAGCGGTTAGATCCAGCTTAGAAATTCTCTGGCCGTAACTCTGCCAAGCACCGCAGAGCTACCCCGCAGCAGCGGGGAAAGCAGACGCCCACACGCCACCCTGACATCTGGCACCAGCCCCGGGGCGAGACGAACCGATGTTCCGTCCACCAAGAAGCCTGCTGAGACACCCGTCTGCAGGCCCCGCCCAACACCATTCCCACAGGCCACTGCGCGCCCATCACCAGGCAACCATCTCATCGCTGCTGGCTGAACCAGCCACCCGGAGGGCAAAGGCGCCTTACACCCCATTTGATTCCCGCTCCCAACCCAGGCTTGTGTGGCTCCCACTAGCCACACACAGGGGACAGGGGCAAGATTGTGACTCCCACATTCATTCAATGAAGAATGGGGGGGGGGATTCGATAGCTGCTTTCAACTACCTGAAAGGGGGGTTCCAAAGAGGATGGAGCTCGGCTGTTCTCAGTGGTGGCAGATGACAGAACAAGGAGCAATGGTCTCAAGTTGCAGTGGGGGAGGTCTACGTTGGATATTAGGAAACACTATTTCACTAGGAGGGTGGTGAAGCACTGGAATGGGTTACCTAGGGAGATGGTGGAATCTCCTTCCTTAGAGGTTTTTAAGGTCAGGCTTGACAAAGCCCTGGTTGGGATGATTTAGTTGGGGATTGGTCCTGCTTTGAGCAGGGGGTGGGACTAGATGACCTCCTGAGGTCCCTTCAACCCTGATATTCCATGATTCTAGGATTCCGCTTCAGGTCTTTTTGAGCCAACACCGGCCGCTCAGGCTGGATCGTCTCATACCCTGAAGAGCCACTTTGGGCAAGGGGGCTCCCACCCAGCCCTCTCGCTGATGCCCCTCCCTCCTGCTGAAGGCGTGGCTCATTCCCTCCACGTGGCCTACCCCAAACCCAGTGCTCTGGGCTCCAGAGTGGTCACCCCAGGGGCAGGGCTGCTCTCAGAACCATATCTGCCCTGGCTGTCGTGAGCTGGCTCTAAACCTGCCCGGGACAGCAAAACCAAGGCCGTTGCCTTGGCGTGTCGTGCTCTGCACCTGGGCACAGACACGGGCGTTTACACGTGCACACATACAGGAGGGACAGCTGCCACCGGAGGGCGTATCCTGCAGCCAGGAAGGAGCCACTAACATAAAAGCAAAGGGACGAAAGAAGAGTCCCAAGTCAACTGGATTCCTGCAGCCAACAGGTTTCCAATGCACAGGCTGTCTCCCCCCCACGCTGCCCGCCGACATGTCCGACCCACGCAGAGCGTTACACTGAGAACCGACGCCCGGGCACGCTGCCCAGCTGGGAGACCAGCTGCTGGAGCGTCTCCCCAAGCCTGAGACGAGCACGGCAGCGGGAGGACAAGGAGCGCTTGCTCACTCTAAGGAAGGGTCTAGATCGCTGGATAGCGCAGAATAGCAAAGCGCACCGTAAGCTGCAAGCCAGCCTTGTGGCGTGACCAGCTGCTGTGTGACAGGGGCAAGCCACAGGTTTGTGCATCCAGGCCCTCACTCCTGGGCCGGCAGGAGCTGAGGTGCCCTGGAGGGAGAAGAGTACCTGTACGATACCGTGGGCAGGCCCCCGTCACCTAGCAGAGTGGCTGCCTTAGGGTGCAGGACGGGGGAACCAAAGATCTAGAGCAGCCAGTGGGTCTGGCAGTGAGCAAAGCGCGTTCCTCCATCATAGGCAGGTAAACAGTGGAAGGAAGGGAAAGGAAAAGAAGTGAGCCCTAATGCAAAGAGGGGTGTCACAGGCAGCTGCAGGGCGAGACCCCGTTAGTAGAGATCCCCAGCACCAGCCTGCCCCCACCTCAGAAGGTGCAGTCCCTTTAAAAGCCAGCATGATTCACCCTCTCCCTCCCCCGTCAGTCTGCACCACGTGATCCACCAGACCCAGGCAGCAACCCAAAGCTGGCGGGGGGGGGGGGAGGTTTGCGCACAGGGCCTCTGACTGCCAAGCGCTTTATCTGGGTCAATGTCTAACCGAGAAAACCACGGGCGGGGGCTGGCCATGCCGAATGAGCAGCGCGGGGGAGAGAGTCTCCAGGCTGGGGAGAGGAGCGAGGGCAGGGGAGCAGCATCGCGGGAGAGGCTGTAAGGGGGGAGTCGCTCCCCCTCCGGGGTCACTTAAAAACACCTGGTTCTCCTCCGGTGATAATGCTCTGCCAGCCAACGAATTATCCCCCCAACTCCCCTCCCCAGCTTAGGCAGGCAGCCATCCTCCTCCTCCCCTCTAGATGGAGAAACTAAGGCACAGACGGGTTAAGTGACTTGCCCAAGGAGACACAATGAGCCAGTGGCAGAGCCAGGATGAATACCCAGGAGCCCTTGTGCTGGATCACACTCTCTTCCCCCCACCCCCCACCCCCATTGACTGGCAGCCCAGCACCAGCTTGGCAAGTCTATCCTGCTGCCCAAGGGCCTGGAAACACTGGCTCTCTGTGAAGGGACAAGTGGTTCTCTGCCCACAGAGAGACGGGAGGCTGGCAGGGCCTGCTGAGCTCCGGGCAGCAAGGGTGGGTCATGGGCTCTAGTCCATACATGCCAAGTGCAAGCCAGCAACCCCTGCCGGGCATCACCAGCTGAGAGCCAGAAGCGGCATCACGGGGCAACAGAGCAGCTGGAGAGCTCTAGCCTCTGCTTTTCTAGGGGTGGAAAAGTCACGCACAGGCCCCGTGTACAGCGCACACGCGACAGAACACAACGTACGACAAAACAAAGCACTCGCCCTGCAGCGGCGTCTCCCATCTCGCGGGGCTGGGGCTGGCTCCTCGCACCAGGCCCTGTGACCTGGCCCACGGGGATTTGCTGCACTGCTCGGGTTTGGCCCATCCCTTATGGCTGGGAGACGGCCAGGCCACATCTGAGCAAGTGGGGACCCAAGGCACAGGGGCAAATTCTTATTTGCTCTAAGTTTGGCCCGGCCACCCTTCTGTCATAGTGAGGGACGGGCCGCAGGGCCAACCCGACCATGCCCCATGGGACAGGAGCTGCAAGGCAGGCTTGCTCTGGAAAACCCAGGAGAGGCAGGCAAGTGGGGGGATTTGGGGGGAAGGGAATAGAGATAGGGGAATGGGGCATCCAGGGAGGAGGGGATTGAAGAAGGAAGCAGTTGGGGCTGGGACAATCCATGGGGTTTGAGAAGTGAAGTGGAGGTTAGATGGGGGCTGCAGTACTGGGTACATGTCAAGGGGGGAACCCTCAGGAGCTGTCCAGGCTGTGGTAGGGATTGGCCCGTGTCTCAAGGCGTGGAAGAAGGTGGTACAGATCACCCGGGATCTATACACAGAGAGAGGCACTGGAGGTATTTTATTAGCATAAAAGAAATAAAGCAACATTTTAATGGCTAAAACAAAACAACGGAATTCCCAAAAAATAAAACGAAAAAATCAAATCACTCTCTCAAGCGCCTTCTGGAGATGGCGCCTCCTGCTGGTCAGCACCTCCCTTCCCCGCCATTCTTCAGCCCAGGAGGCCACCCTGCAGCTCTGACAGCCCTCAGCTTTGTGTGGCTCCAGGCCATCACAGACATAGGTCAGCACGTGGGGTTCCCTCCCCGATGGGGCCCGCGGCCATCCCTTGCTCTCCCTATGCCAGAGCTGTGCCTACGAGGGGGTCGGACTCCTTTGGCAGAGCGGGGTAGGATCCACAGTCCAGCGCATTCCCGGGGACACACACTGCCTGCCCGACCCGTGTCCAGAGACGCGGGCAGCAGCTGCTTGCATGACGCTGGCTTGTTCCTGGGCTCCAGAGGAGAGCGCTGAACCCACGCCGCCTGGCTGAGCGTGCTGGAGGCTGCCTTCTCGGCCCTTGGCCGTGGGCATCCCCCCAGGACCCCCCCCCCCCGCTTCTGCCCGCTTCCCCGGACCCTCGGCCTCTGGGGGGGAAAGCAGCTCGGGGAAATAAAACAAAAAAAAACCCCAAACACCACAGACCTCCCTCCCCATGGCTCCCAGTAACGAATGTCCTGCAAACCCACTCAACAGCAGGAGGCAGCCAGACGGGTGTAGTTACAGCACATGTGGGGGACTAGAATTTCTTGGGGAGCTTTTTCTGTGCCAAATGTTGCATTCCCTCGCTCGGCCCCCCCGTACCCCCCTCACCCTGTGGACTCCTTCCGAATTCCAGCAAGAAGCTCCAGGCTGGATTGATCCCTGGGGTTTAACTCTTTACCGGCCCCGGCTTGTGGCTTCCCCACACCAGAGGGAGCAGCTGTCTTTGGAACGCACCAGCACAAACTCCCAGGATCAACCTTGCCCTTGGCTTCAGCAGCTTAGCTTTCCTAGCCTTCAACTCCAAGAGCGAGAGCATTTCCCCAGCACCCTGGTGCCTAACCCAATTAAACCAAATTTTCACAGCCCTCCACTAGCACCAGAAGCCACTTCTGCTCCTGATTCATGCACGCGGCTTGCACCAGAGCATCGCCGTCCTAGCATACAAACAGGGCCTAGAGGCTGAGTTAAGGTGAGCAGGGACCACCCCCTCATCGAGGCTGACCCCTGCCCATCACTGTACTGAGCCCAATAGCCAGGATTACACTAGAGTGTAACATCCCCCCAGAAACAAACTATCATGTGCCACCAGCGGGACGGAGGTACACCAATGGCCCAGGCCCTGCAACGGCAGGGAATGGATTTGGTCAGACGCTTGCCCAGATGGTCTGGGTGTATCTCTGGGGACTGCCTCGGAGACAAAGCCGCCAGAATTGTGATGTCCCACCTGTTGGATCCCTGTGACCATCTGCTAAGCTTTGATACCCTTGGCATTCAGATAGTATCTGCCTGGCTAGCCATTGCCTTCCCTGTGCCACGGGTTAACATGGCCTGGACAGGCACGGCGTTCTTGTCTCCCCGCGAGACCTGCGTCATTCCGCTACTCCACCTCTGTTAGCATCTCCAGCGGACTCGGGCACCTGCTGCCAGCAAGAGCGTAGATGGGGAGCACAAAATCCACTGAACCACAGCGTTTC